GGCCATCAGGGCAGGCTCGACTATTGGTCTCAGTCTTAGTCCATCCTCTCGTGAACAACCATGTTGACCACTAGCAGTATCTGACACAAGTTTTGCTATGTACATCCCTACATCAGTAGGTAAAAGTAATGGCAACAGATAAACATGACATTCATTATGGCATCAATTTTCTGAGTACATGATACACTATATTAATTACGCACACACATATGTGCAATGTATAGATTTAGATACTCATTCAAGTCAAAGATTGTTCTAATACATGTAGTAATGCATTGTAACATATCAAAATTTCTACAAAAGCTAATGAGAGAGGAAGGATGATCATTTCTTCCCTTTCAAACAAACCAAGTGCTGAACAGTTCAAATACACTTGAAGAGTACGCCTATTACAATCGCATCTGCTGCAGAGAACTACAGAAGTGATTTCCGTCCCAAACAATCTTATAATTCTTTGATTTAGTAGTGGTTTTATGTCAACGCAAAGCACATGACGCAGGCAGTATTGCATACGGACGTAAGTCATTTTTGGCGGCCTTTGAGATACGTCTGTATGCAATACTGCCCGCGATGAGTCATACCCCGCCCAGCAATTACTCCCTTTCGGTTAGATCTAACATACACAATTTTTTGTTTGTCAAATAGGCCCCATAGTTCTTGCATAATCCACAAGACTGCGACTTGGCAATTTAGTGAGTTGCTTTATTTAGATTTTCAAAGCACTACGTATCGGTCATCATCACTGTGTGAAGAATAGGCTTGAACACAATTTTTTTAGGGGGGGGGGGGTTATAACTTGAAAGAACATACTCTGATACAATGTAGCTAATAGGCAACCATGTCAGGAAACAGTACTTTGACTGAGGATGCATTTTAAGAATTACAACGAAGCCCAAAATAAAAGTAGAAGCAAACAGGGGGTTTTAATTTTATTTGTGCTTCTTAAACTAGGATCTAAATAAACATGAATTTAAAAGATCATATCACAAGCGCATTTTTCTGTTACATTTATGAATTGGAATAAAAAGGTAACCTTTAAAAAACAATGGTTTTATGAGCTAAACAAGTACAAAAACAAACTACTAAAAAAACTTCTGATACAAAAGGTAAGAAAAATACTGGTTTACTTAAACTACGAATAAATGTAATTTGAGTAGAAATGGCAAAATGCTGATTGCACACACTTGTTAATTTTTTATTTCTTTACAGGCATCTTTAAAAAAAGTTAGGCTGGCACCATCATGAAAGCTTCCTACAGTATCTAGACTTATAATACGCGAAAGATAGTCTCAAATAGTTTTTAAAATTTTGATCCAAATGGATCTCCCTATAAAAGATTGAAAAGAAGTTTGAAACTAAAATCCTAGCAATTTTCCATTAATGGGACTGTTTTGAAAAGCACTGGTGGCATTTGTCATACAGACGACTGGCAACGCTCAGGACATGGAGCTTGAGAGATATTACTATAATACGTATACAGTAACAGTACTGTTTGTTAAAGTGTAAAAGAGGGGGTGTCATAGTATCGATTGCATGATTAGTCCAGTGAGGGTACATTTGTACTGTGAAACAAACAGGCCTAAATTTTTTTGGATCTTTCGAGTTATTTCACTTGACTTTCATTTTAATACCTATCTAAATGGCACAAAATGCAAAGTGATTGCAGGTTAGCACACATGAAATCGATTCTGTGAGCACTAAATCTGTTATAATTTATTAATTAGATTAAAAAACAGGGGACCAGGATACAGGTACAGTGGAACTCGGATTCAACAAGCTCGGATTCAACGAGAGAAGATGGATTCCCTGGGGGTTTTTTCTTCTTTAAAATTAACAAAAATAACCCGGATTCAACGAGCACTTAAATCAGCAAGCTCGGATTCAACAAGGTCGCTTCCAGGGTGAACAGCCCCCGCAGACGTGGCTTCGCTCATTTTTCTCCCACAACAAACTTTATCTATTCCCAGAAACCATCCATTGCACCTGCATCGTGAACCATTATTCACTTAGCCGATTGCATGCGACCAATCAGCGGCCTTCTTTCATACCAACACATGCGTTGTTGACACGCGTGTGTTGGATGAGCGCCCTGCACACGAGTGACAGTGTGTGCATGTCCGGGAGCACCAGCGGTCAGGGCGTGGAATATCGCAGATACAAACGAGTTTTTTCCCACTGGCAACTGATCATTATTTCAATGATAAGCTAGTCTTGGCGTAGATCTACGTAATGAATTGTGCGCTGGTCTATGGAATCTAAAGTTGCCGTGTGCTAGGCTAGGCTCTTCACAGCAACACAACTTTTTGGCAAACAATAAAATGACACAGGAGTGTACTTGAACGAATCAGTCTTTTTTTTTGCACAGCTCATAGCATGCAATCATTTTAGACACCACTTTATACATCACTTGCCTGTAATTATCTACACAAAACATCATGTTTGCTATAACGAACACTCGGATACAACGAGATTTTAGGTCAGGCCAGGCAACCACGTTGAATCCAAGTTCCACTGCACCACACTGCAAGCCTAGAATATTCATGAACTTTAATAGAGACATAAGTCTAACAGGCAGTTTACCACAGTTGCATTGGCAAAAATGAGAACACGCAGTCCAAATAAGCAATTAAAGTATTGAGGTTATATCAAAGTAACATGGGCCCATGAAAAAAAAAAAAATCCCTCATGGCGTGGGTTTTTGCTGTTCTTCACCATCACTTCCATTACTCATTTCAAAGATTACTGTAGCCCACACATTGTCAACATTTGCTCCAAATTTACGACAATAACGGCAGCAAAAGAAAATTTATTTCGGCAAATAAATCTACTTTTGGCATTCTTTCACCATGTAAAGCCAAACCGATACATGTGCAATGTGATACAAGATGACCACCTGGACAGCACATTGTTCTATTCCAGGTGATGACAGTAATGCTCTTTCCCTGTCAGCACACAAGTGGAGAGAGAAACAATCATCGACGGTGTCCTCCAGCACAGCCAGGAGTTGGAACCACAACCTTTTTGTCCACAAGTCCTCTAACCTCACCACAATAGTGAGACTAAATCCAAAAATAAGGTCAAGGTATAAAACCAGCATGAATATAACATGACAACATGTGTTCTTTAAGGCAATAGACTTTACCAAAAGATACTCTGATAATTTGGTAGTTTATGCAAAAAAATTCCACTGCACCTACGACCCACTTTTCTACGGAAACCCAGCATTTTTCTTTCAGTAAACACTGCCTAATCTTAATTTTACAGTTCAAAATGTTTAAAGATCCTGTATTTCTCAAAAATAAAACAGTTGACTTTGTTTGACACTAACACAAAATCCTGTTACCAAAAAAAGATTTATCTCAATCTCCACCACCCCCAACCCCCTTTTTTATTTTTATTCCATGCATCACAGCTTCCCTTAACATGTAATCTGCTTAACATAAAAAAATTCTCGTATCTCTTGAGGATCAAGTTATTTGGGGTTTATTGTGGGTTTTGGGACTAAGTACAAACATACACACAATGTACTTGCATAGCCACATCTAGAGTCATTTTATTGTCATTGGCAAAGTCTATTGCTTAAAGACACCATGTTGGTTCCAAAGATTTTCAATGTAGACATAATAATAATAATAATAATAATAATAATAATAATAATAATAATAATAATAATAATAATAAATATATGACAGAGCTATCTTTTAAAAGGGAGAATATGATACATAGTATTACTGGAAAATAACAACCAAGTTGACACATAAATGCATATTTTACTATTATTTTGTTATATAATTATAGTCGTGAAAATTTGTTTTACTTGGAATATCATGGTAATAATAAAAGGCCAGAGTGATATTTATTTTTAAAATAAAACTGAAACCTTTACTTGTTGCCCAGCTATTCTTAAAAACAAAAGTTGGATGACAAACTCTTAAAAAACCCAACAACAAACAACCATGAATTCCCAAATACAGAAAATAGAACCCTGGTGTAAAAGAAACCAGTTACAAATATTGTGCATTGATTTGAGAACAAACTTCAACACTGGTAATAGGTAATAAGGAAGGAGAGGAATAACTCCTGTGCAATGAACATGCCAGTTCTTCCTTTAAAAAAAACAACTTGGGGTGCAATCTGACCCACCTGATAATTAATTATTCACTTAGACCTAGTTACATCTTTCAAAGTTTCTAAAAAACAGGAATTATAAAAACTTAGACCAATCTAGATTGAGCAATTGTCAATTTCAAGAGAGTATTCCAGCTTTAAAATGTTCATTTCTGAGCATCATGGAGTTAAAAAAAGAAGACTTAATTCCACTTACTTACATGGCCTGGAAAGTGAATGAATCTGACCTTGCATTGGCAGGACACTTTACGAATGAATTAAAATCTAGGATTTGGGTCAACTCTTTAATCCTTAATGGTTAGAATAAATAATGATAAGCAAATACTCTATTTAAACAACAAAAAACTGTTCCGATTATGCAGTTATGCATGTCTATGTGAAACTCTATAACTTAATGCAAAAATAAAAACTTTAGATGACATGTCAACATCAATGATGAATAGAAAATAAAAACAGGTAAAAAAGACAAAATCAGTCTGTGAAGGATCTATAATTTACTATAAAGGGTTGTGGCCATTACATAATAAGGACAGTGACAACCCATTTGATCATTTCTGCAGTAGAATAGTCCAAATAAGGAGTGGGACAGCCCTTTGGCTTTCATTTAGAGGTAAATAAGCACGGAATGTCAAACTTCGAACCTCACGGGGGCTGGCAAGAACATGGGGTGAACACAAGTGCACCTCCATAAACCTTACAAGACATAATGATCTTTGATAATTTGTTGTTTGCCAAACATCAGAAAAACCAGAAACACAAGTCAATATAACCAATAAGGTCAAGACAACCTTTCATTCAGCACCTGGTGGCAAAAAGTTTGTTTAGAAAATATCTGAAAACCAGTTTATCTGATCTGATCACAGAAGGAAACATTTTACTTTCAGCTTTGAGAGAATGATGTGAGTGCAAATCTAGATCAAAGTCAGTATCACAGTCACATCCACTCCGTGCTCTCTGTCAGCCCAGATCATCATGGAGAAAATACATGCAGCAGCAGCAGCTTGAGTTCAGCATGTTTCAGCATTGTCCGCTGTTCCACCTCCAGTCACCATAACTAGGTGACTGCCACCTGAGGTGAAGGAAAATAGTAGCAATAAATAGTATATAAAGGTCCTCTAAATGCGGCAAACATCCCTGCCCTATGAGGACTATTAGATCAGGATCAATGCAAAAACCCACAACTGAGTCTGCATTATCATAGTTTTGCAAGCACAGTCCAAAGTCTGCTTTCCCAAGACTGCTACTTAGAAGAACTCTGATAACTTTTTCCTCCTATCCCAAACAAAGACAACGCCCACTGCTGCAAAACAGAGCAACTTATAAACTTTTACCCTCAAGAACATGGCAATGAGCCCAAGGACTACTGGATTAAAAACAAGAACCAAAACAGCATTAATGTCATGGGGAAAAAGAAATTTTCAGAAAAGGGAAGCAGATGAAGCCATTTCACAACAACCATAGAAACGCAGAGTAATTTGGTGCAATAACTGTCGAAATTGTCCACTGTCAAGGAGGACAGTGATCGTCTTACAATGGTGGACGTATTGGACAATACCATTAAAATTAGATAAAATGCGGGGGGGGGGGGGGGGGGGTTGGTCATTTGTACAGGTGATTTGTCTTCAACAGGTCACTGTTGGAGCAGGTTCGATTGTATATAGTGAAACTTTCCTTCCACTGCATTCCTTCACTGCTTAAAAGATATATGAAAAGACAGGAAAAAAGAGGATTTTCTCGAACAAGATGAAGAAAGTGCAAAATAAAGAAATTGAACAAACACTGGAAAATCACTGAGTGGATACTTGATACAGTCTACTTTGCTTCAGTTGAAGTCAGCGGAACAAGGAAGAAAATAATATCATAACATCTGTTCTCCAACCACTTAATACTGGGACGTTCAACATGCTTGATGGATGACAGGAACAACTTATAGTTCTAGGCCTTACCCTTTTTCTCTTCTGTCTATCAGCAAATGAGCAAGCATAAGTCATTCAAAATTTACAATTTTTCGTCGAATTTGGAACCAGTTTACTGTCCTATTGTTTTGAGCTGTGCATTACTGTTTGTGTATTCAATCTGAAGAATTTGTCTTCCAATTGTAAATTATTTTGTTTACCATTATTATCTCAAATTAACTTTGGCAAATTCTCTTTCATAACATAAATTCATTTTTTTCGGAGTGAAAACTTGCAATTGGTCAAGTGGTCACTGAGGCAAAACTATGGACCACAAACAAAAACAAACTTTTTTTTCCATGTGATTATTTCAATATCCAGTGGCTCAAATCTTATTTAAAATACAGCAACAATGCCAACTAATGAGAGGTTAACACCAGAATAATCAACAGTCAGAGAGTCAACTCACCACCATCTAAAAGTTGGTCATCACGTCCTGTATCCCGCCCACCAAGGTCAAGGTTGAGATCCAATGGAGCCTCATCATCATCGTCAAGGAGAGCATCAGAATCATCTTGGCTAGACAATAGAGTGAAGTGGCGAGCAGCTCTTTGTCGTCTGGGAAAGGTTAATAACAGACAACTATAATCTTTGATGGCAAAACCTTGACTTTACCCATGTACTTGTATATAATACAAAACCAAGCAACGGAAGGACATGAAAACAGGTTTTTCCTGTTATTTAAAAAAATATATATATAAGATCACGTTACAATGCATTATTATCACCATAAGATTGAGCTTGTGTTAGGAAGCAAACAATGACAAATGCAATGAGTGTAACTACAAAGAAGGAAAACATAAAAGGTAATATCAAAGTGAGGATCCTTCCCTGAGGTAAAAGAAAATTGGGCAAAAAAAATAATAAAATGGAAAAATATATATACAAATACTGTTTTTGAAGATAAGATTGTCCAGGGGCTTAGGTCCTCTACTCACCTGCGGCAATAAAAAAAGGTCAAAGTGGAGACTAAGACAGCCAACACCAAGATAGGAGCAGCAATGTACACTGGCTTCAAATTGGGACCATGACCATGGGGGCTCGGGCCATCTGGGGAGACACAAAGAATACATCACTGAGATATATTCCTGCAACAACTCTTCCTCTAAGGAAGTTAAAAAAGCAATATTATAGAACAACTTGTGAAGGCCTTCATATACTACCACACGGCACTAGGTAGAAGGGTTCTAGTCTAAGGCCTTATTGCAGAGTGAAAATTTGAAAAATTTCTTTGATAAGGATAACAAGAGTTGCAGACTAAGTTACACAGACACTGAAACTTAAAGATAATATTCCATAAAGGAAAGGAAGGCCCACAAAGCTAAAGTGCTATGCTAAAGTGTCCAAGCAAGAAGTCATCTTGGCATATACCCCAGACAGTTAGATAAAAGACATAAGCAATAAGCTATTTGTACTAGAACATCCGTCTGCTTTCTCCCTACCCCCTCATCATCCAACCGTTCAAGCCCTGACCCTATCCCTGAACCCACAGGTGATTTGGGGGGGGGGGGATGCTTTGATGTGGTTTGCTGCTCTTTTTCTATCAAACATCTATCATCATTATCTCTCCTCCTTTTCTTTGTATGTTTCTCTCAGGTAACACCTCTGATCTTCAGCACTTGAGACCTAACTGTGTTGCAAGTACCAAACAAATCTTACTTAAACTAACACTTACAACCCCAGTCATGTATATTTCCTTCCAGAGTTCTCATTCCCCCAAGTCCAGTCCCGTATACTTCCTTCACAGGGCACTGGCCGCCTCAAACTCAGTTGAGTATATTTACCATAATCTGTCCAAATATCTCTGAAATTATTCTATACATTGTCTTCTAAAACTTCCAGCAAAAACATAATGTCAGCAAAAACTTACAGCACAATTAGCACTGGCTGGGCCTGAGGAGTCAAGGACTCCACTATTACCGTGACTGGAGGGAAGTGAAGGCTACAAATAGCATGGTGCTGTGAGAGCTAAAACTGAGCCCACAGTCCCCACCCTTCTGAACTCCCCAAGGACACCTGCAAGATTCACACCACAGCATGCAGAGGTGATCATTTGGTATATGGAAGGGTAATGATAGCCTGCCCTCAGGTCCAAAGGGTTTACATCCCAACGTTTCAACTGACTAATAAAGACAGCATACGGACAGCCGCAAACACGCCACCTGTAGAGTTGGTCCAGTCAGAGGCAGAGAGAAGTTCCACACCAGGGTAAGGTTTGCCAAACAGGCTGACCTTCAGCTCTTTGTTCTTCACCATGGTCTTGACTCTGTCAGAGAGCTGTCAAAGAAAAGAAAATTTTCCCTCAACATAAGAATGATACTGAAGAGAAGAAAAAAAATCCTAGAAAGCAGACAGCCTTAGTTTTTTAGTAAGAATTCGCATCCCTTGCAACACGAATAAATCATACCAAAGTGCTGAAGATTTGAGGTGTTACTGAAGATTATCATGCAAAGATAGTGTGGTGCCAGATCGCTTATAGCATATTACTGCAACTTCGTACAGTGGAATCCACTTATAACGAGTCCTGAAACAACGAGAAGTCTGTTATAAAGACACTATTCTAAAACCCCGTTTTTTCCCCTTCTTTATCTTTGTAAACAAAATACTGCTATTGCGCAATCAGACAGTCACGCGAGTCGGTTATAGCGGAATATTGCTGCTGCTGTGCAGAGCACACAGACCAATTAAACATATAAAACCTCGCCATTTGAGAACGTTGTTGCTGATCCAGCGAAACAAAGAACGGGAGAGCCCACGCGAACCAACAATGAAGGCCGGAGCGAATGAGTGGGTAGGGTGTGGCATGTGTAGACAAGCAGAACGCATCGGATGATAGGCCAGCCTCGTCTAGATTATCTAGGCATACTGTGCCTCTCCCTTCTCTGGTGCGGGATGGAGAGGTCACAATGCTGTGATAGATGGAGTGACTGTGTGACGTGCGCAAGCAGACGCAACGCATCACAGGGTGTGGTGGGGTGAGGAACAACACAGTGGGCAAGTTAGCCTAGAGCCAGAGCCCCTTCTTTCTGATCGCCAAAGCCGATTTGTCAACATTGCTAGTGCTAGAGAAAGAAACATGATTCGATTTTTGATCAAGTAAGACCTAGAGATCAGGTTGAACAAAATCATCATCAGGGGAAATACAAAAAGGAGAAAACAGAACACCAAACTCATAGATTAGGCCTACTTTACTATTTCCCTTGAATTTATTACTGGATCCCTAATAACGAGAATCCTGCTATAACAGACATTTCGCACCGGTCCCCTCCCTCTCGTTATAACAGGATTCCACTGGAATAAATACAGGCTTTAACAGGGAGCCAATGTAGCTGTAAAAGCAATGGTGTTGAGTACTCTCTTGCAGGTCTTTTGAGAACAACTCTCACAGCTTGGTTCTGATGTCTTTGCAGTTTATTCATTAGTTCTGTTGGTATGTTTATAAGGAGTGAGTTGCAATAGCCAATATGAGATAACACAAATGATGAAATCAGTGTCCTAAGAGATATCTTGCTTAAAAAGGTAGGCCTACCAATTGAGCAATTCTTTGGATCTCTAAATGTAGCCTTACACAGACTTTGGAGTTGGTGGTGAATAGACAATTTAAATGAGCTACTAAGCTAGAGTGCTTGTCAAGTAAATGCAGTATCGCATCATCATTATCTCTCATGAGAAAACAGTCTCAACTCTAACCCTTTGCTTAGCATTTACCACAACAGCACATGATTATCATTTTTGTAATGTTCCTCTTCTATTTATATAATAAAACCAGCTTTCATTGCCATACCTCCTGCATTGTCTGATCTCCCTGATCAGATGAAGGAAAAATGTAAAGGAGTCCAGCATGTGGAGATTTGTCTTCAAAGACACATTCAATGCGCAGCAATGAGACACCTAGAGCCTGTAGAAAGAAAAACCATTCTAATAAACAAACAATGAAATAGTGACATTACATTGTTACTACATGTATAGCCTGTGGTTTAAGAAAACTGTCTGAAGATGCTGAAAGTTATTTGTTCAGGTAAAATGGGTCTTAGAATAACTATTTCTAGCAAACCATTTCAAAATCTTATCTTTATAGGATCTTAGTCAAATGGTAATCGAGAATTTATTATTTTTTGTTATAAATTATGCTGAGAACATGGGGAAGCTAAATTTCACTAAAATCTGAAATTGCTGAAAGTGGATACAAATTTTTATGCAAACACGTGTCTGTAAACTGTAAGGTGACGGTATGTTAATTAGTGTGTATGAATATTGCAGAGACAGAAAAAGGGAGAAGAACTGCACATCTTTCCTGTTACTCTTCATGCAGCTTCATTACAGTAAATTTTATGGCCATTTTCCCAAAATTTATTCTGAACATCCTCATGCCTTTAAAAGTGGCATAAGTTCTTACAGAGAGCTCCAACTGCACAAATATAAATAGCAAACTACTTATGAAAGATGAATCCTTAGAAATTTGATAAAAAGTATGTTATGAAAAACTTCACATTCTGACAGACGCACCCACAAAATTGATCAGGCAAATGGATCAACAGTAGAAATTCTAATAAAGTGATCCCAACTATTTTTTACTTTTAAAGAAAAAGACAGAGACCACATCTAGAAATTCATTGATTAGATTTTTAAAAAAGAACACCTATGAGAATATTGATATTGACTCACTGACTATGGTTCCCGTCATAGGTACCGGACAGGCGTCTGGTATCCTGGTACGGATGCCCCGGAGGATGGACATGCAATTTTGTTCGGAAACTTGTGCTCCGGTCACATGTACGGGAATGGACTCCCGTGCTAGTTTTGCCACTTGTTTAGTTTCTTACAGAGTTTGGCGGAAGTTGCGTGGTAACTTTTAAAGTTAATGAAGGTGAAGGACAGTCACCCCAACTGGGGTTGAACTGACCGGAACTCGCGCCATGTTTTTTCTATACAGCTGATAGTAATTTGACAGTCACGTCGAAGTAACGGCCGAGGAAGTCGCATGAACAATAATCACATAATTTCGCTGTTTTCAATACTTCTGTTCATTTTACTAGTTCTAGTGACTCAGAATATGAAGTGTCTGATAGTTAGGACCCTGGATATGTGTCGTAGTTTTAGGGCTAGATCTAGCACTAGTACAGGTGTTGTTGTTCGCGTAACGAAATCACAACTTCATGTCCTACATCTGTCTCAGGTAATTCATTGTATGGGTCTGAATCAACGCACAGCCCTGCTTTTATATTTTCATCAAACATTCACACATGCATACAAATCAAAACAGAACACTTTGAACTTTTATTTTTGTTATTGTTGTGAATTTCATTCTATCTGTCACATCTCTGGAAATGTTTTGGAAAATCAAATTCATGCCAATTTGTTTAAAATCACAAAAATTAAAGTATTAGACAACTTTAATTTTTTTTTTGGTATTAGATTAAGCTTGAAAGTAACTTTACTGTGTTAAAAAATAATTACAATAGGTTAATTCTGAGAGTTGTGGTGGTGTTTTGAAATATTCAGCGCTAGTGACTGGTGAAAGGGGCCAGTAGTCAGTGAGTTAAAATACAGAACTGCTGAATCTGGGGGAAATAACTCCTTTGCTTTCTTTACAACATCAGTATTATCAAAAGCTTGTCTTATGGAAAACTTACCTCAGAAATTTCCTGACGTACTCTGTGCATGAACAGCGTACTCACATACGGAAAGGCTTGATACATACTGACTTCAGGACTAAAGTCAATGAGAAGGATGACAGCAGCATCTACACCATGGGAAAAGATTTTTTTCAAATATACCTTTCGCTTGTTTGAATAGGGAAAAAAACCACAAGAAGTCACAGAGAACTTGGAACACATCAGGAAGTAGATGGAAATACAAAGAACAAGTCAGAAGTAGGATGTGGGAAAGAAAGATAACAGACAGTCAAAAGGAGGCCCTGAATGAACACCAAGAACAGGAAAATGATCAGGAGAAAGACCAGAAAGAAGGTGACAAGATGACATCAGAGAGCGGACAGAAACAACCTGGACACAAAGAAACAGCAGATGGATCAGAATGGAGATTATTATTGCAGGGCTACATTCTGCAGTAGATGGACAATGCCTCGTAATCATGGACAGACTTAACCCATCTAACCACATTTCAGCAAAAATTAGGTATTTTTACATACACTACAAACTTGAGTTCAACTTTGTATGCTTTCTCTACGTGATGCCACTTACCAAAAATGCGAACTTTGAAATGTTTGTGGAGTGAGCTAATAGAATTAACAGCCTCCACTGTTCCTTGGTATGTTCTGGCGACCTTGAATACATGTAAGACATTACTACTCCACGTCAACAATGGATGGTCACCATCTTCCTGTGAAGGCAGATATTCAGTTTTACAGTGTCAGCAAAGAAAAACAAAGTAAGGAAAGAAAAAAAAATAGTAGGGGCCTATAACCTTAAGTATGATTTCTATACTTTAGCCTGAAAATCCAGATTTTCCTTTGTTTAACAGAAGCCAAACCTAATTAATATACAAGATTGTCGACATGTGCTGAACAAGTGACTTAAATACCTTTAAAAAATAAATTAAATCCAATACAACTTTAAACGGAAAAAGGTTACCGATGGTATCAGGAACGGCAGTTAAGTTTCAGAGAGTACAAGAAAACTCAAATAAGTTTTACAAGGAAGCAAAATGCTAGACTTACCTCATCACCAAAAGTCCACACATAGTGTTGGTGCTCTGATTTTGCCTGCTTGTAACCCATAGACGCCAATGCCTGGAAGTTCACAGGTGTGCCCATCTTGCCGGCCCATGGTGCTAGTACTAGCAGATTGTCAATTTGCTCTTGGAATAATATACAAATAAAAAGTAAAATATGAAAGCCATTGAAAGGACTTCAATGTTTATGAAAAAATTTTAAAATTCATTTTTTAAAACCAAAAAGCAGACTTCCAATTGTTTTTTGAGACATAGCTCACAGACAGTAAAACTATGACTATTATCACCAGAAACAGATTAGGACATATGTAAAGCAAAAAGCAAAAAGAGCAAACCTCCTATGAGCCTATCAACCACTCATAGGATTTTCTGGTTCGACATGAGGAGAAACCCATTCACAAAGTCATAGTCCTATAGCACTCGAAAAGAGAAGGGAAAATAAGCTGTGATGTTGTTGTTGCTGGGAAGCAGTCCGTTATCAGTCAGCACAAACACAGTCCGTTATCAGTCAGCACAAAACAGTCTCATTTCACAAGGCACAGAATTGCAAATGAAAAAATGAAGAAAGAGCAGAACACATTTAGTAGTCTACAAACCACCCAGAGGTCATTGTGAACAAAGAATTCTAAAATGACAACCAAACAACCACCACAAATAATGACAATAAAAAAACAGGCTACAGGACAGCAAAAAAAAAAAAAATGGAAAAAAAACCCCATAGCATCACACCTTGAACATGTATGAGCAAGGTGGCGTTGCTTGATCCCTTGCTGTTCTCAGCGCTGACAGACACATTGTACCGTCCCACCTTAGGAAATGTGTGGGACTGCACAGAAGCAGATGTAAAATCACTCCGCTGTATGGGTTTGCTGCCATCTTGAAAATTCCATGTATAAGTAGTGTCAGTCTTTGAACCCTAGAGAGGCAGATATCAAATACAGAAGACAAAACATTTAAACTCTAGATGACGGACAACCTAAAAGGTGGTAAACAACAAGCAGACCTTTATAGACATGGTTCTATTGTACACTACTTCAAGTCAGTTTCCTGATTCAGTAAATTTCTTTCTCAAATTTGTTTTCTAGAATGAGAACAAACATAATTTGTGAAAACAGGAGTGTATACATACCTATAAACCATCAAAAGACTTAACATTTTTTAAGTGGGAGGGAAATTTACTGACATTTGCATTTTTTTCTATATCAAAATTTAGTTTTATGCTCTGCAGCTTTAATTCCACCAGAATATAAGAACAAATGATGAACCTAATTTAATTAGAAAAAAAATAACAGAAGGAGTAAAGAAAACTTGTACAGCTACCCATACAAAGTTTGATTAAATGACATGCATAACAATCAATTTAACATAATAACTTCAAGAAGTTGCACTGCATTGGTGGGTGCCATAGAGCAGCCTTTGCAAATAACAATTTAACACTACCAATCTTGTCTAATGATTAATACGACATGAAAATTCTGAACTTCAGAACAAAGTCTCTCACCCCCCTCTGGTCCATGTGAAAGGAAGTCTCTATCCCGACCCTAACGTTCATCGTCTCCGTGGTCAGGGATACACCAAGTGGTCTGACTTTTGGGCATTCTTTGTTCACTCTGTCATATCTCTTCTTGAACTCAGCACCTTCAATGCAACTGTCTGCTGGTATTTTGCGATATCTTAAAAGAGAGAAAGGAACTGGTTAAAGAAAATCCACTCTTTAAAAAAGCAGAGATGCCAACCACAGAAAACCGAAATGAGTATTGGGAAATATGAAAATGTGTATTTTCAGGGGAAAATGTGTATTCCCCACGACCGACCGACCGAACAAAAATTACTGGCTCACCGGCTCGAAAAAGGGAGCACACACGCGTACAATATACATGTATCCAGTCAACAACATGTCAGTGTTCAATGTTGTACTGGGGTCTTGTTTGACTTAAATATTTCAGTCTATTATACCGCTAATATTTTCCTCTCATTATTATGTAAAAAATAAATCCTGCTTTGAGAGTTCGGAAAGGCCTAGAACAAAAATTTCGACAACCAAGAACTAGTCTGGGTGTCATGATTCATATAATGAACTGACAGACTCAAATTATTGCTCAAACTCAGAGAAAAGCGATAACTTGAATGACTCAAGTAGACCCGTGCACTGTGAGAGTTGTAACAACTGTGGTAGGGCAAGATGTAGTGACACTGAAAATCTACCAGTCTTGAACAGAAAGCCACAACATACACTGTAGGCTAGGTATAATTTACTATCATCCATCCAATGAAACGCTAACACATTATTTCAATAACATAGACTTGCAAAGTTTGAAGGGTCCCGATTCCTCACACGGCCTGCACCAACGCGCGCTTTGCAGAAAGCTCTAATCAAAATGTTGAAATGTGCTTCCAAGTTTTTGTCCTCTGGTGTTGCCTTCACACCCTCCGCCATAATATCTTAAACCCCCAAAAAATCAATAATCTCCTCCCCTATTCCGTAGTCCTATACTTCGCAAGGCCGTTACTCACACCAAAGACGGTCTTTGCTCACACGATGCCGCATTTATTTATGACACGAATGCGCCCAGGTTCAATGACCGGTCACGATGGCGAGCCAGACAATCTAAAAATCGGACGACGCTTGTATTTTCTTTTCTTTTTTTTCCACAAGTGACAGCACAGAGGCGAGTCCGAGCATTGATTAAATTTTATTTGCACGGCGACCTTGCGTTTATACTGCACAACCTGCATGTCACAAAAGTTGCGTTATTAGACAACTGCTTGCAAACTACTCAATGGTAACGAAAGCGAAAGTAGATCTTGATTTTCCCGATCGAGCCTCGGTGTCACATACGCCTCCGCCTGCCGCCATAGCTGCCTATTCGCGTGAAAGTGAAACGTACTCTCCGGACCGGGAGAAGCTGAACGAATATAATATCATGATCGCGACCGGCAAAAAGAAACTTGCTAACCACATCGGACTTGGTTTTCAAATATTCTAGTTCTGCGATACTGATACTATTTTGACAAAAGATGGGACTTGAGATAGGTTTACTCAATCTCGTATTTTTCGCATTCCAGGATGTTTATTTTTTCCTGAAAAGTCGTATTCGCGTATTTTCGGCAAAAAATCGTACTAAAATACGTAAAATCGTACTGGTTGGCATCTCTGAAAAAGCATGAAGTAACGACCAGCTTATACGGCAGGGAACTTACGTAATTCTCTACACAATGCTAATGAAACATTAACCCAAAATATCTTAAAATAACACTGAAAATTTAAAGTAACAACACTTTTTAAGTTAATAAAGGGATGAGATACCATGAACCTATATTTTTTGGCTTAAATATTTTTTTCAATAGTAAATCTGAAATCAGTGGTCCTGGAAATAACAGAACAAGCACTTAAAATTCAAGTAAAGTCATTTTTTTAAAAGCTTTAATTGATTGCAAAAGAGAAGCAGGTATAAAATCACCCAGGTCTGTGGGCTGCAGCAGAATCAGATGCAAGTAATCTTGCCAAGACATACCCTTGACTAGCAGAGTACATTCCCTTCTTGCATTCAAATGCCACATAGCCATCAAAGAACCAAGAAGACTTCTTGCACTCATTTCCAGATTCTTCATATCCAAAATCACTGCAACAAATTACAAATCATCAAAGTCAGGTAAAGAAGAGAAGCTCACTGGTTCATTTTTGTAAACTTAGCACAAAGCCCTCACTAAAACAAAATTTAACATTTAAAAAAATGTATCATTTTGTATGGTTGAGCATTAAAACACATTCCCCAATTAGCCTCTCTGGTTCCACAACACCAACAACACAGTAATTTGTTTCTCCTTTTCTATTTTTAACAAAGACCTCCATGTCTGAAATGAATGTATGATGATTTTGAGAAAAACGAACTTTCCCCAGCCTTCGAACAGCAATCTGTGGAAGATATTTTATTAACATTTTTACAAGTAATTATAGAGGGTCCCTTTTCTCTTCCTCCAGAAATTTACATTATCCATAACCAAGAGCTCTTCAGTAGGGCTATAAAAAAAAAGGACTGCAAAAAATTCTCACAAACCATTCATAGTCTTCTGTTGTGCAAGCGCAGGTCGCGTTGGTTTTGACTTTTGGCTTCAAAACACCTCCACTGTAACAAGGAGGATTTGTCACTTTTCTACGAGAGTATTCAGTAATTCTGCCCAAGATGCATTTTCCAGACGAATTCTGAAAACCAAGTAAGGAGAAAAAAACAAAAAAACAGTCATGAGTTAGTTAAGAATTGTGCCAAATTGACAATACAAGCAGCTGTCACCTTTCTCTTTTTTCTTCTCCTTCCCTAACTCCTCAGACTGAGTGAACAGTGCAGTTGATTTGGTGTATGCAGTATATTTCTTTACTCTACCATTGCAGGAAGCCATATGTTGTTATCAAAATCCAGGTACCTATCTGGTAACAAACTGTATAGATTGGCAAGTGTTTTTTGTTTTTTTGTTTTTGTAAGTGTTTTTACGGCGCTCGCAACTGCATAAGGTCATATGAGCGCGCGAGACACACCAAACTTTTTCAGTTGGTAGGAAATTTTGAATTTTGCCCGGGTGGCGGCCGAAGCCTACTCTTATCCATTTTAGACCACCAAGGGATCTTTAACGTGCACAACTTGCACACGGGACCTCCAAGATTTTTCGCCCTTGTCCGAGAAGGCTTGGTGTAGATCTTTCCTACCAGAAGATCAGGGGTGTGGCTGAAAGACAGCAGTAAGAAGCCAATGAGTAGCAGTAGAAAGGCTGCAGAAAGAATCAGGAGCCCAGAGGAGGGGGCAAAGGAGGTGAAAGGGTGGGGGGCAGAAAGAGGAGACGAAAGCAGACGACAGAATATTGCCAGAGAGTAGGAAAGGAGGTGAAAGAAGACAAATTTAGAGAAGAAAAATTTTTTGGTCGCTACCCGGATTCGAACCCGAGACATTTGAATGAGAGGCGAACACCTTAACCTCTAGGCCACGAGAGCCCCCTAGGCAAGTGTGAAATGTTTTGATCCTCAATAATAGGGATACAAAAGTGATAAGGAAGACTTGTTAGTCATGAGTCAAAAGGCTATAGGTGAGCTATCTGGTTCGACTTCTTTTAGGCAGCCAGAGACAACTTTGGCTTGGGCTCCCCCCCCCCCCCCCCCCCCCAAGGTATTTACACCTCTGATGCCAGGGAAGGTGGCATGGCCTTTCGATAAATTTTTTAAAACTTTGAGATCTCATGTGCCTGTGTTGTACATTATGAAAGTGTTGGCAAAAAACGGGCTGAGCTGGTCAGCCACAGCCAGATTCTCAATTAATCTATACCCAAATCTGAAAAAAACTGACCAGCATAAAAATGTCGAGAAAATATGTTGGAAACTTAAACAGACATTTAATAATTTCTTAAAAAGCTAAATATTTTTCGAAAGGTCATTTCAAGATCACATACTGTCAAATCCAAAGGAAAGTCAGGTATTTTGTTTTTTTGTTATTAACCATATATGGTAACACAACCATAACCATTTTTTGTTTAGTCTTCCACCAGCTGAAGCTGAAAAGTAAGGAAAATTCTGCAGGGGGTCTGCCCTGAGGCCCCCAGCAGGGTCCAGGGACAGGATCCCGGTGGGGAAACCCCCACAGAAATTGAAATTTAGTGCTTTTAGGGGGTGAAAATGGCATTTGGGAGCCTGTTTGAAGAGATTGCCTACAACCCATAACATTTATTTCTTCACCTACATTTTGTCTTGTTTGAATTCTTCACCTACATATCTTTCCATAGCTGGCAATACTTAAAAGCAGGTTCCCCTTTCATTGCTACTATAATTCAATTAATTTGTCGTCGCACCATTGATAGAAGGCAAACCTGGGAATAATGAATAGATATGTACCTTCACAATCCAGCTGCCCAGCGTACACCCTAATTTTTCCTCAGTTTTCACGTCGGAATGTCGCCTGTCACAACTTTGGAACACCACTTCGAATTATTCTTGATTTTAGTAGTCTTAGCATATATTTCTTTCATCGTGGCCCTTATATCGCGTTATCGTGCCGTAGAATCTTCGCATTGATAATTTCTCTAGATCTAGACAAATTTGCAAAAATTGTTTCTTTCTGACAGTTATTTTCTGTCTAAGATCAAAAGTCAATTTACTTGATCAACGCGCAGAATTTCCAGTCGTGGCAAAAATCCGAAGATAGACAGAAGGAAAGAGTGAATAATAGAAAGGAGGAAATTGGCACAAAAAGTTCGCCAGATTTTGATCCATCTACAGGTTAAAAACGTACTGCCGACCAACCCGCAATGAATGCATGGGGCATAGCAGAATAATGCCGATTGCAGGAAATGCGCAATCTGGCAGGCTTCTATTACATTAACTTGTTGCCGAGAGAATTAATAATAATAATAATAATAATAATAATAATAATAATAATAATAATAATAATAATAATAATATATAACATTTATATAGCACATTTCCAAAAAAGTAGCTCAATGCGCTTTACATTTTTCAAAAACCTTTCTTACTACTTCCTTTCTTCCCATGCAATATATATTAATGCACACACACACACACACACACACACACACACACACACACAGACTATTTTCATCCAGACATAGGAACAGAACAACAATAATGAAAAACAACGTTAAAAGCTTATGAAGGATAGGCCTGTAGGAACAGAAAATGTTTAAGATGTCTTTTGAAGCTATCAAGAGTTTTTATTTGTCTTAGTTTCATGGGTAATCTGTTCCACCTAAATCGACCAAGATATGAGAAAAATCTCTCTCCATATGATTTGTATGATTTTACAGGTGTCACAAGTAGGGTGTTATCTTTTGATGATCTTAGGTTTCTCCCTGGCTTATATATACTGATAAGTTCTTGTAGATAAAAAGGAGCAGTTTTATCTACACATTTGAAACGCATGATGGATATTTTAAATATTATTACAGGGAGCCAATGCAGTTCTTTTTATAATGGAGTGACATGGTCTTGTTTTTTAGATCTTTTTATCAGTCTAGTGGCATTGTTTTGAATTACTTGTAAACGATTCAAATATTTGTTGTTCAGACCTGCCAGGAGTGAGTTACAATAATCTAATCTATATAGGATAAGAGATGTTACCAGTGTTTTTGTGGTCTCTTCGTTTAAGTACTTTCGAACTAGGCCTATCCTTCTCAGCCGAAAATTAAGGGATTTGGACAGAGATCCTACAAATGAGCCCATTGATAAGTGGTGGTCAATAAATACACCAAGATTCTCGACAACTTCTTTACTAGATGTCATATGCCCATATAAATCAAAGTTGACACTTTCCAGATCTTTATTTTTGAAGGAATGATGTCTGTCTTTTCTTCGTTTAGTTTCAATTTGTTTACTGTCATCCACTTTTTAATTTCATAAAAACATTGTTTAGTGAAAGAAATCATGTTTGGCAGATCTTGAATGGTGCCATTAAAATACATTTGGGAATCATCGGAATAAAAACGATAATTCAGTCCCTAATTTTGTAAAATGCTTGCTAAGGGCTGTGTATATAGTGTAAAGAGCACTGGTCCAAGAATGGACCCCTGTGGACCTCCATAATCGAGCCTGACCTGCTTTGAAAAGCTATTTTTAATTTGCACTGACAAAACTCTTTCTAGTAAATATGACTTAAACCATGAAAGCACAGTACCCGATAAGCCAAATGAGCGTTCAAGCCTTGTGAGTAGAATAGCATGGTCAATTGTGTCAAAAGCTGCAGACAGATCCAAAAGAGTTAAAAGACAGATGTTTTAGCTATCAACGGAATCCATTAAATCAGTCGTTACTTTTAAAAGCACAGTTTCCGTACTATGATGAGTTTTATAGGCAGATTGATAAATTTCCTCAAGACCTTTTTTTCTCATGTGAGCCAAAACTTGACTTAAAACAATCTTGTCTAGAATTTTTTAGACAAATTGCAAATTCGAAACTGGTCGATAGTTTTTTAATTCATTTTTATCAAGCCCGGGTTTTTTCAATAAAGGTTTTACAATAGCTTGTTTAAAAGTATTAGGTACTGTGCCTGTGGCAAGTGACATATTCACTATCTGAGTAATGTGAGGTAGGACAAAATCAATACAGGTTATGAGTACATGAGCAAGCATTGGGTCAAGGTCACACGTTTTTATGGTTGACCCATTAATACAATTTAAAACATCACTATTTGTAACTGAATTACCGTAAATATCCCTAACTTACACAAGAAGATACAAATTCGACTTCGGAGCTTTTGCTATGGGATTTCGGCAGTCCTATGCTGTCGCAGTTTTTTACGGAGGGAGTTGATAATGATGGAGGAACAAGTACAGAACTGGCAGAAAGTATGGATTTCCGTAAAAATATGGCAGAGTGGAAGCACTTTTCCATAGCAACTGCAAAAAGCTTGCCATTTTGAATGAGACTGTGGTGAACAGGCCAGGGCAAGATCGACGGCAAAAAGACTCGAGGCCTCGATTCCAAAACTGAAAAAGAATCGAGGAATCGAGTCCGATTTTTGAGTTTGGAAGCTGCTTCAAGTGGGCCTGGCTGTTTAGAGGCCATGACTTGAACACTGCTAAAATTTTAAAACTCGAGAATTGAGTCTTGAGAGTCTGGAGTCTGACACTATTTGACAGACATGGCTGGCAAAGCCTGCGCGCGTGCCAAGACAAGTTGGCTTTCACGCATTTGTGGGTGTGTGTGTGTGTGTGTTTGTGTGTGTGTGTGCGTTGTAGGTAGGCTTGTAGGGTTGCCTCCCTTCTATCACTCTTGCCAATGCGTGGGGCACAGTTTCCTTATCTCTTGCATCCTTTGCTTCCTGATATGTCAAAGCATGCTTTGATGACAAATGTTTTGTTATTGTCCACGTTGTGTAATTGTATGCCAAAACATTTTTACAAATCATACAAACAACAGTACTGTTTTCCTGCTTATAAAAAAAAACTCCCAAGCTAAAGATCGACGTCCAGACATGGTGACTCATTGATATCAACTCAAAACACACAATATGATTTACAAAAGAATACTTGTACAGTGAAAATGAAAGTGCAGTGAAATTCAAAAGCAAGCGTTCAAGACAAAAGAAGGAGAAAAAGGAAGTGAATGATATATTTTACTTTGGGATGGGCGGGCGTGGGGCAACAAGATTCAAAGTAGCAGTTGCCTATGTGCAGCGTGGTTTTGTACTGGGCTACACAGTAGACACAACGACAAGTAGGCCTAGGCCTAGTTTAGCATTCACTCATAGCGGGGAAGAGGAAGGTGGGGTGGGGTGGGGGGTTGTGTGAGACAATTGATAGTGACTGACTGGCTGTTTCTTGCCTTAGGCCCCTACCGCACTAGGCTTACGACAGTTCGTCCTGGGACGGACCTGTCTGACGTTTGACACCTTTGAACTAGAGTGTAATGTACAGCACCTATTATTGGGAAGTGACATTTTTGTTGCATTGAGTCCCAAGCAGTTGTGAATTGCTACAACATCGGTGGGACAGGATGACCTAATACTATTTTCTCTTTCTCTTTTGTCTAATACGAAGCAATAGAGCACAGGCACATGCAACCTCATTCATCCACCTTAAAGACACAGTCCTGAATCTACATGTATCTATGCCTAGTGCACGCCAAATTCAAAGAGTGAAAAAAAACACATAAGTAAACAAAACTCACAAGAATTAATTTAACTTGGTAATCGGGCATTAAATTGCATTCCCCAAGTAATTTTTGCTAATTTTGGGTTGCTGATCACGAAAATCTTATAATTTCTTAAATTTGGCCAATATTTAAGAAATTTTTGAAATGCATTTTTAACTACGCCTAGGCCAACACCAAAGAAGCCGCCTTATGCACCGGATCAGTCCTGTCCCGGTGTGGTGTCTGTTTTGAAGAGAAAACTCGACTCTGGGAAGGGACAGATAGTGCGGAAGAGATTTAGATTCTTGCCTCGATTCTCGGAGTCTAGGCTAGGAACAAGACTAAAAAAAAAAGGAGACGGGAGGCATCGACCCTTGGCGGACTCGAAGCTTTGAGTCTGTGAACAAGATCAATTCTTTGAGTCCTCATTTGGACTCGAAAGAATCGATCCCAGAGTCGATCTTGCCCTGGCCTAGTGATGAAGTATAGCTTGCTGAGAATGAACAGAAGGAACTGTGAGAAGCCACACGAACCTCAATCTCTTCAATATCCAAGTTCCAACCTTATGTAAGACTTACATTGTTATAGTCCTGGGGAAGCCATTTCTCGTAGTCTTTCTCCTGACACTTACTTCCCAGCACAGAGGAGAAGTTCAATTTGATCAGAGTCCAGGGCTCTTTGTTCTTGGTATTGCCAAAAACACTAAACGACGAAGATAAAATGTCAAAAGTATGAGAGTATTTTCGAACATTTTCTTTTCATTTAAAAAATCATAAAAATGTATTTATCTCTTAAACATAGACCTGAACAGCCCAGCAGTATACTTTACACATTTGGTCGTTTCATTTCTTTCCCCATGAAGAAATAAAAGAGTTAAGAATCTTCAAGAACATAAAAACATTACATGTTTTCTTTTGGGTTAAAAAAAGGCCACGTGGCCACAGCACGTCTTTGAGACAGGGTCTGAAACCCAAATAGTCTTTTCCAGTCGTGATTCTTGAACTTCTTAACTCTTTTCCTTTTATTACTTCATATGCCTTATTCAGCATCATGAAGTTTCTGGCTTTTTATCCACTGGACTTCCTTCTTTTCGCAACCTCCTTCCTTCTACCATCTAAAATGGAAAACAAAACTAACACAAATGATATACAACAACAAACAAACATTCATCATCAATGTGGGACAGTGGTGAACATAACAGGATATCATACTTCTATGTATGATACTGCATTTAGGGATCACATCAATACACTATTTTGATAACTAGGAGTTATTTTCTTGGACTGCCAAAAACCTCTCTGTCAGGGTCTGTCAGACATGGTGTAACATCCACATACTTTCAACAGGTTTATATAAATTATTTTAATCTTTCCAGAAGCATTCACGGAGTATTGTGACCTATCTAACCACCCAGAAGCTGTTCAAGCGAATAAATATATTTACCTCTCCACAACAGTCAAGGAACCTGGCTCAGTAAGAACACCTTTGACAATAAGTGGGTCCTTGATGAAAGGAAACTTTTTCCATGTGAGACCCTCATCACAAGAGTAGCTGAGGAAATCACATTCACTGGCCTGAACAATCAGATGACGTTAAACTTTTACGATAAAACTTTCCTGAGCACAGCAGGAATAATATTCAACATAGAACAAAGAAATTATCACTTACAGGGATGATTCTAAAAAGTGAAGTGCTGATAATACTGATAGACATCTAAACTAAAAGACATCTAAATTCTGATAACTGTTAATTTGTAGACCTGGGTTGTATGTAAAGGATTTCATGCACACATATTTAATTCTCAACAACTGGTTTTCTCTTGACAGCAAGAATGCAACACAAATCAAGCAAAGAGATTGGGCCATGATCTCAATATTTTAGAGAGACAGGTGGCGGGTACAATATAAAATAAGAGGAAATAAAATGTTTCTTGCTTTACACAATCCTTGGCGCAAAAAATATTACGTGTTAGGTTACTTACTGCATGGTATTAGTTTTAGTGCCGGTCATGAGACCATCCAGCATGACAGTCAGGACTCCACCTTGGTCCAAGATATTGAAGTGATGCACACCACCTGACACAGGACCCTGTCAGAATGGATACACAATCACTTTCTACTTCCTTGTTTTATTGACTTTCTTTCACTCTCTAAAAGCTTCATAGCATCAAGATAAAATACCCAAGATACAGTTGAGACAGGACAAGGACAGACAGTTGACTGTAGAGATGTCTATAATGTAGACTAAAAAAGCCTTATGCACCGCTCACAGCCAAAAGCTCCATATCCCAGACTCTAGCGTGGAGATCATCAGGAGAGAATGCTTCGCTGTTTCAGGCTCTTCCTCTTTGCAGCTTTTCTGATGCACCGAGCTGTGAGGTCTCCTTGCTAGTCTGACTGTTTTCTTCTGCTGTCAACTCTTAAGATTCATTCCAGCCCACGCCCTCTCTCTTCAACCAGATCCAGTGAATCGCTTTCTCTACAGTCTCCTGAAGGGAATTTATGAGCTCGTTACTTTTCTTTGCAGTAAGTCCTGCCACTCTCATCCACTTTCGAACGCTAGCTGCTACGAAACCTCTGCAGCCAACCTCAACTGGAAAGCGAGTTGCTTTCCACCCTGCCTTCTCACATTTTTCGACAAGCGCCTCATATCTATTGTTTTTCTGCTCATGTGCAGCATTGATGCTGTCTTCGAGAGGCACCGTGAGCTCTAACAGGTGCACCTCTTTCTCTTTTTCCTCCCAAAACACCAAGTCTGGCTTTTTTGTAGTTGGGATGGGGAAGAATCTCTTGAAGCCCTTTAAGTGAACAGCTTCCACCCATGTGCCTCCGCTCTAGTCTTTCACGGCTTTGTTTGTTTTCTGTTGGGAACCTTGCTTCCTTGCAGAATGAACTCAATCTTTATTAGTCCATGCTTATGTAGCTTGGGGGGATTATTTTCCTTCTTCCACCTGTTTTGTCGCCATCGTGGAGAGCACTTTCAGCACCTCGTTGTGTCTCCAGATGTACCTATTCAGAACCAAGTTGCAGTTTGACAAAATATGCTTCAAGGTTCCTAGCTTACCGTATCTACACTTGTTAACCTCTTGTACCTTCCATCTGACCAGGTTCACAGGTGAAGGTAAAACGTCATACGTAGATCTGAGAAGAAAGCTTAGCCTAGATGTGTTCCACTTCCAGACGTCACTCCAACCAACTTTTCTTTTGACTACATGCTCTTCCCATCTGGTCATTTGTCCTTGCTGGCTCCACTGGAAGAGATGAACTTCTCGCCTTCTCGCCTCCATCTTTCGCATATGTCTTCTTGCAGCTTTTCTTCTGTCTCGCTGAGTCATTTTCCTAAAAGGTCTAAAGTTGCCATTACCTAGCCCCAACCTGTCAGGTTGTGCCGGACCCACAATGTCGCCATGCTCCAATGCAGAGGTGATCTCGTCAGTTGCAACTTCTGCCTTCCACTTTCTCGCTGTTTTGACACCTGGAAGTTTGCCCGTACAGATGTCTGTAATGTCAAGCACTAAATAATCATGCTTAGGAAAGCACCTATTTGACGAAAATAAAAAATTCTAAAATTCTATCAGCTAGGTCAATTACTTAACCCTATCCGTACGCCCTGGGGTCATTTTGTACCCCCGGGGTTGTATTCTTCACATTTTAGAATACTTCTAGTATGAAGACCTCTTTGAAACTTTTAAGTGTTTCTCAAAAAATCATTTTGACAGACTGCTGTGCAAAGCGTACAGATCGGATTAACGAGTAAATATCCTTTTTGGAAAGTGGTGGAACAGAGTTCCCCACGTCGTATGGATCCGATAGTAAGTGGAACAGAGTTCCCCACGTCGTATGGATCCGATAGTAAAACACGACATACTGATAGGGTTAAAGGATTTTGAGGTAAATTTTATACATTTCTTTCACCTCTCTGGAAAATATAATAATGCTATCAATACTTTATGGCCACTTTGTGAACAACAGCACCTATGAACTTCTTACATGTAATGGCCCTACCATCACACTGTAAGTCATTAGCTTTCCCTTCCAAACAAGTTATCTTTTGTGTGCAATGCTTGCAATGTACACAGATAAATATATTTTTCAATATCTCATAATTCTTTCCTTTTATTTATTGTGTGGCAGAGTCAGCAAGACATTACAATAGTGAAAAGAAGTTTCTGAACCTAGCAGAGCCATTAAAAACCTTTTGAAGGAATATATATCTGCTTGTCCACTTACAATTTCTTACCTGGATCAATCTCATCTAATCTCTTACCTGTCGCCAAGTCCAGCCACCATCTCTGCTGGAGAATACAGCCAGTGATCCATTCTCCCCTGGACCAATGAGATTCCCGTGAGCCAAGATGACCCCAGGAGCACTGGTCTCGGAGAGCATCCCTGCTGAGTGCAGTTGCAGTTTGCAGGTCTTGGGCTAGGACGGCAACAAGACAAGAGGAAATATGAATGCAAAAAAGAACCTTGTTTTTCCTCACAAGAAATTTTTTTCCTTGCAGCACCTGACAGTGCTGATTTAGCGGTAAGTACTCTTACAACAGAAATAAATTGTAGCTGATATAAACGTACAGAAACTGTCTGTCTTTGTTCTAGATCTCATTCTTTCACATACCCCCCTCCCTACGCATGCAGGCACACACACAGACATGCAGGCACACACACAGGTATGCACGCACACACATGTTATATACCATTATTTCAGGGAGCTTCATGATCCCTAATGAACAATATCTTATTGCTTTAAGACAGAAAATGTATCAACTTGTCACCAGCTCAGAAAACCAGATCAGCTACTAACAGAGTCAATAAACAGGGACAACAATATGTAGATCAATGCTAATACAGTCGAACCTGCCCTGACGGCCACCTCTATAAGACGGCCACCTGTACAAACGGCCACTTTCCATTTCCCCCCTTGCGTTTTTTCTATATAATTTAACTGTGTAAAACGGGCACCTGTCCAACGCTGCCGCG